TTCAGCATTTTCAAGGCTCGTTACTGTTGTCTGGGTACCACCAGCTTGGCTGGTAGCTGTCTCATGTGAATAATGCCTAATAGTCCTGGTTGTGTAAACTGAACTGGCCAGGAACAGAAAGCTGGAAGATAAGAGAAATGTAGCACATGAAACAGTCATTTGTAAAAATAAATAAATAAATAAATATAAATAAATAAATAAATAAATAACTGGCTAGTTAATCATGCTAATTATCTCCATGCTTTCTCACTCCGTAAGTTAGAATGGCCTAAATAAAGATCCAATACAGAGTAAGACACACATTCCTGGTTCAAATTAAACATCTTCGAAGATTAACTGCTATATCTAACTCATATTCCTTTTTCTTTTCGGGACGATTTTTCAATTTTCTTCCTTGTCAGGTTAAAAAAACCTTTATTTTCAGAGCAGCCGCCAGTACAGCTTGCAGCTTTGCAAAGATAGTAGCTATACCCTAGCTACCGTTCAACTCACTAACTAGTCTCCCTCTTTGGAAAAGAGAAGAATGCTATTTCCATCAGATTTGGGTTTTCCCCCTGAATTCTGCTTCCTTTTGTCCCCCTCTGTGATCTGACTCAAAAAGCAAAGATCAGAACCAAGCAGGCCGGGGATCCCTGGGTGGCTCAGCGGTTTAGCACCTGCCTTTGGCTAAGGGCGTGATCCTGGATCAAGGCCCACATCAGGCTCCCTGCACGGAGCCTGCTCCTCCCTCTGCCTGTGTCTCTGCCTCTCTCTGTGTCTCTCATGAATAAATAAATAAATACAATCTTTAAAAAAAAAAAAAACAAAAAACCAAGCAGGCCTATCCCAACACTGTCAGCCTCCTGAAGTGTCTTTTTCCCCCTTTTATTTATTTTCTAATTTTTATTTTTTTAAAAGATTGTATTTATTTATTCATGAGAGACAGACAGAGAGATAGAGGCAGAGACACAGGCAGAGGGGGAAGCAGGCTCCATGCAGGGAGCCTAATGCGGAACTTGATCCCAGGTCTCCAGGATCATGCCCTGGACTGAAGGTGGCGCTAAACTGCTGAGCCACCCGGGCTGGCCCTTTTTCTCCCTTTTAATTTCCTGCCAACTCCTTAGAAACACAAACCTCACTATCTTAATAATGCCTACTTTTCACCAAATTATATAGATCATAAATATCATTGAGTTAGTACCTTCTATGTGCTAAACACTGGATGAGGTGCTTTACTCTGAGAAGAGATTTGCCTGGGATGCCTAGGTGGCTCAGAGGTTGAGCATCTGCCTTTGGCTCAGGGCGTGATCCTGGGACCCGGGATTGAGTCTCACATCGGGCTCCCTGCATGGAGCCCACTTGTCCCTCTGCCTGTGTCTCTGCCTCTCTCATGAATAAATAAATAAAATCTTAAAAAAAAAAAAAGGGATTTGCCCAAAGTCTTGCAGCTAAAAACCAACAGAGTTGAGATTTGAACCCAGGTCCTTTTGCTGTTCTCTTCACTGACCGTCCTGGCTGACATTTCAGTGGAGGTCAATGCCATCTTGCTCTGTGCTAGAAACCTAGCATGGAGAGAAAGCCCAGGCACCCACAGTCCAGCTGAGTTTAAGCTTGTCCCCTATATCATCTCATGGTACTGGCCTGCCTCAGTTTCTCTGTCTTCAACCCAGACCCTATTGAAAAGAGAGCCCTTCCCTAAACTACATTGGGAGCTTTTTGCCAGTCAGTCCCTAGTGTAGGCCAGTTGTTGAACTTGACCTCAGTCTCCTTGTCTGTGATCTAGTCATTTTTTCCTGGTTTATCCAGGCCTCCAGCCCACAGGACCAGTCCTGCTATTGGCTCCTGGTTGGTATCTTCCCATAGACCTGGATCACTGTCCACCTGGGCTGTCACCCACTTGGACCTTTGGCAGTGTCCGACCACTTGCCAATGGCACACTCATCTGATGGGCCACTTTTCCCTAGATACTCTTCTCCTCATCACAACTAGCCAGTTTCTTTCTCTTCCAAACCCATCTATAGAGCGTTAGTACCAGCACATTCTGCAGTCAAGCCTTTGCATGATGAGAGTGGGTGGTTAGTAGGCCTATGCCAACTGCAAGCCTTTGGATTTTTCAGAGTGGCTGGAAGTGGGTAGGCAGACAGGTTTCTGTAACAACCCGGCACATTCTTTCTGTAGGTCCAATGTGGCTGCAACAATTTACTCTTTGTTTTTTTCCTACATCCTAGGAACTACCCTAGACTATTCATCTCCAAGTGTACATCTGAGTGGTTTGTTCCTAAGGTCATCAAAACAGTGACCTCAAGGATGTTTTCAAGCTCCCAAAAACTCTACCTCTATTATCTAACACCAAATCATAAACCTGCAGTCAAAGAAATAGCTAACAAGCAACAAACTACTATGCACAGGACAGGCACTTGGCAGGGTGCACATGTGAGAGTGGTAGTGGGCACTACACAGTAAACAGGACAGACACAGTCTCTGCCCTCGCAGAGCTCATTACTCAAGTCATGAGAAGGAAGCCACGAACACAGAAAAAATAAAATGAGAGAGGCTTTTCTAAGGCCCCCGGATTAATTATTGTAAACTTCGTGATAAGCACCATGAAGGAAGTATCCAGAATTGTGGCGTAATGAGTGACTCATAAGGGAAGACTCCTTGGGAAGGTACCATTGAGAAACTGGATGGTGAGAAGGACCAGCAGCAGGAGAATCTGGAAGGGACCATTCCAGGCAGAGGAAACAACTAGAGATAGCAGAATGGATTTGGGGTAAGATGTGGCAATTGCATGGAGAGAGAGAGAGGACATCCTCAGCCCCAGCTGGAAGCCGGAGGAAAGGTGGTGAGGTTCATATAAATAGGCTGGAATCATAAGACTGATAAACCCCTGGCCAGGCTTATCAAAATGAAAAGGGAAAAGATCCAAATAAATAAAATCATGAATGAAAGAGGAATGATCAAAACCAACACCAAAGAAATACAATTTTGAGAACACATTCTGAGCAACTATATGCCAACAAACTAGGCAACCTGGAAGAAATGGATCCCTTCCTACCAAAACTGAAACAGGAAGACACAGAAAACCTGGACAGACCCATAACCAGCAAGGAAATGGAAGCAGTCATCAAACAAAAATCTTCCAACAAACAAGAGTCCAGGACCGGGTGGCTTCCCAGGAGAATTCTACCACACATTCCAGGAAGAATTCACCTATTCTTCTGAAGCAGTTTATAAAAAAATAGAAATGGAAGGGAAATCTTCCAACGCTCTCTGTGAGGCCAGCATTACCCTGATCCCCAAACCAGACCAAGACCCCACCCAAAAGGAGAATTACAGTCCAGTATCCCTGATGAACATGGATGCCAAAATTCTCACCAAGACCCTAGCTGGGAGGATTCAACAGTACATTAAAGTATTATTGGGCAACCCCGGTGGCCCAGCGGCTTAGCACCACCTTCGGCCCAGGGTGTGATCCTGGAAACCCGGGATCGAGTCCCACATCACGCTCCCTGCATGAAGCCTGGTTCTCCCTCTGCCTGTGTCTCTGCCTCTCTCTCTCTCTGTGTGTGTGTGTGTCTCATGAATAAATAAATAAAATCTTTTAAAAAAAAAAGATTATTCACCATGTCCAAATGGGATTTATGCCTGGGCTGCAAGGGTATTCAGCATCCCCAGGTCAAACAACGTGATACAGTACAGTAATAAAAGAAAGGACAAGAACCAGAGGATCCTCTCAACAGATGCAGAAAAAGCATCTGACAAAGTGCAGCATCATTTCTTGATCAAGACTTTTCACAGCACAGGGAGGAACATATCTCAATATCATAAAAGCCATCTACAAAAAGCCCACACCCAATGTCATTCTTTTTTTTTTTTTTTTTTAATTTTTATTTATTTATGATAGTCACAGAGAGAGAGAGAGAGGCAGAAACATAGGCAGAGGGAGAAGCAGGCTCCATGCACCGGGAGCCCGACGTGGGACTCGATCCCGGGTCTCCAGGATCGCGCCCTGGGCCAAAGGCAGGCGCCAAACTGCTGCGCCACCCAGGGATCCCACCCAATGTCATTCTTAATGGAGAAAAACTGAGAGCTTTGCCGCTAAGGTCAGGAACACAACAGGGAGGTCCACTCTCACCACTGTTGTTCAATAGCCTCAGCAATTAGACAACAAAAAGAAAAAAAAAGTCATCTGAATCAGGAAAGAAGTCAAACTCTCACTCTTCACAGAGGACATGATGTCCTATTTGGAAAACCCAAAGACTCCACCCCAACATTGCTAGGACTCCTAGAGGAATTCAGCAAAGCAGCAGGATATGAAATCCATGCACAGAATTCAGTTGATGGTACATGACAAGGTAGGGCTCCCAAGCCCCTCCCCTTCTTCAGGGAGTCTGGGATGGAAACTGGAGGTCAGGAGATTCTCAGTGTGTTGGGGGATAAGTTGGGGCAGGGACTCCCCAGCAGCTGGTCTCTCTCTTCCTTCTCTTGCTGGGGCTGGTGGTCCAGGGGGCTCTTACTCCTTGGAGGCCATGTGGACCATGAGGTCCACCACCCAGTTGCTATAGCCAAATTCATTGTCATACCAGGAAATGAGCTTGACAAAGTGGTTATTGAGAGCAATGCCAGCCCTGGCATCGAAGGTGGAAGAGTGGGTGTCTATTAAAGTTGCAGGAGACAGGGACACCTGGGTGGCTTAGTGGTTGAGCATCCACCTTTGGCTCAGGTCGTGATCTTGGAGTCCTGGGATCAAGTTCCCACATCAGGCTCACTGCAGGGAGCCTGCTTCTCCCTCTACCTGTGTCTCTGCCTTTCTCTCTGTGCCTAAAAGATTTTATTTATTTATTCATGAGAGGCAGAGAGAGAGAGAGAGGCAGAGACACAGGCAGAGGGAGAAGCAGGCTCCATGCAGGGAGCCGACATGGGACTCGATCCTGGGTCTCCAGGATCACACCCTGGGCTGAGGGCAGTGCTAAACCGCTGAGCCACCAGGGCTGCCCAAAATCTTAAAAAAAAAAAAATCTTCAGGAGACAACCTTGTCCTCAGTGTATCCCAGGATCCCTTTGATGGGGCCCTCCGATGCCTGCCTCACCACGTTCTTGATGTTATTGTATTTGGCAGCTTTCTCCAGGAGGCATGACTGACACGTTGGGAGTGGGGACACAAAAGGCCATGCCAGTGAGCTTCCCATTCAGCTCAGGGATGACCTTGCCCAGAGCCTTGGCGGCACCAATGGAAGCAGGGATGATGTTCTGGGCAGCCCCTCGGCTTTCATGCCAGAGCTTCCCAGGGGGGTCATCCATGATCTTCTGGGTGGCAGTGATGCCATGGATGGTGGTCATAAGTCCTTCCATGATGCTGAGGTTGTCATGGATGATCTTGGCCAGAGGAGCCAAGCTGTTTGTGGTACAGGAGACATTGCTGACAGTCTTGAGGGAGTTTTCATACTTCTCATGGCTCACGCCCATCACAAACATGCAAGCATCAGCAGAAGGGGCAGAGAGGAGCCTCTTGGCCCCACCCTTCAAGTGAGCCTCAGCTTTCTCCATGGTGCCGAAGACCCCCGGGGACTCCACAACATACTCAGCACCGGCATCACCACATTTGATGTAGGCAGGATCTCAAACCTGGAAGAGGGAGATGGATTTTCCATTGATGACAACTTTCCCATTCTCAGCCTTGACCATGCCATGGAATTTGCCATGGGTGGAATCATACTGGAACATGTATACCACATAGTTGAGGTCAATGAAGGGGATCATTGTTGGTGACAATATCCACTTTGCCAGAGTTAAAAGCAGCCCTGGTGGCTAGGCACACGATATGGCCAAATCTGTTTACTCCGACATTCACCATCATGTATCAGGGATGTGTCTGGCACTGCACCAGAAGATGCAGCTGTCTGTTGAACAAGGAGGAGCAGAGAGCCATTGGTTGCATTTCTATACACTAACAATGAGACAGAGGAAAGAGAAATTAAAGAGTCGATCTCATTTACAATTGCACCAAAAACCATAAGATACCTAGGAATAAACCTAACCAAAGAGGCAAAGGATCTGTACTCTAAAAACTACAGAACACTTATGAAAAAAAATTGAGGAAGACACAAAGAAATGGAAAAATGTTCCATGCTCGTGGATTGGAAGAACAAATATTGTTAAAATGTCTATGCTACCTCAAGCAATCTATACGTTCAATGCAATCCCTATCAAAATACCCTCACCTTTTTCTCATAGAGCTGTAATAAATAATCTTAAAATTTGTGTGGAACCAGAAAAGACCCCCAAATAGTCAAAGGAATGTTGAAAAAGAAAACCAAAGCTGGGGGCATCACAATCCAGGATTTCAAGCTGTATCACAAAGCTGTGATCATTAAGACAGTGTGGTACTAGCACAAAAGCAGACACATAGATCAATGGAACAGAATAGAGAACCCAGAAATGGACCCTCAACTCTATGGTCAACTCATCTTCAATAAAGCAGGAAAGAATATCCAATGGAAAAAAGACAGTCTCTTCAACAAATGGTGTTGGGAAAATTTGACAGCCACATGAAGAATAAAACTGGACCATTTCCTTACACCGTGCCCAAAAATAGATTCAAAATGGATGAAAGACCTAAATGCAAAGGCAAGAGGTACAAAGACAAAAGTGACCTACTGGAACTTCATCAAGATAAAAAGCTTTTGCATAGCAAAGGAAATAGTTGACAAAGTCAAAAGACAACTGAGAGAAGATATTTGCAATGTCTCATCAGATAAAGGCCTAGTATGCAAAATCTATAAAGAACTAGTCAAACTCCACACCCAAAGGACAAGTAATCCAGTCAAGAGATGGGCAGAAGACATGAATAGATATCTCTCCAAAAAAGACATACAAATGGCCAACAGACACAAGAAAACATGCTCAACATCACTTGGCATCAGGAAAATACAAATCAAAACCACAATGAGATACCACCTCACACCTTTCAGAATGGCTAAAATTAACAAGTCAGGAAAGGACACATGTTGGCGGGGATGTGGAGAAAGAAGAACCCTCTTACACTGTGGGTGGGAATGCAAACTGGTGCAGCCACTCTGGAAAACAGTATGGAGGTTCCTCAAAAGTTAAAAACAGAGCTACCCTATGACCCAGCAATTGCACTACTGGGTATTTACCCCGAAGATACAATTGAACTACTGGATATTTACTACTGAGTATTTACTATTGGGTATTTAGGATTACTAAGGGGCACTTGTACCCCAATATTTATAACAGCAATGTCCACAATAGCCAAACTATGGAGAGTCCCGACATCCATTGACAGATGGATGGAGAAAGAAGACATGGTATATATATATATGGTATGCGTATGTGTGTGTATATATATATATATATAATGGAATATTACTCAGCCATCAAAAAGAATTAAATCTCACCATTTGCAATAATGTGGATGGAACTAGAGGATATTATGATATGCTAAGGTAAATAAGTCAGTCAGAGAAAGACAATTATCATATGATCTCATTCATATGTGGAATTTAAGAAACAAAACAGAGGATCATAGAAGAAGAGAAGAAAAAATATAACAATGATATCAGAGAGGGAGACAAACGGGAAGAGACTTTTAAGTCTAGGAAGCAAACTGAGGGTGACTGGAGGGGTGGGGGATGGAGATGGGGTAACAGCATCAAGGAGGTGATGAGCATCAAGGAGGGCACATGATGGAATGAGCACTGTTAAGTAAGACTGATGAATCGCTGACCTCTACCTCTGAAACTAAAAATACACTATATGCTAATTAATTGAATTGTTAAAAATAATTAAATTATTATTTATTATTTTTCTTATTTAATATAATTAAATTATTTTTTAAAAAGAGGATAAAGCCAACATCGACTAAGCAACATGGCATGTATACTTGCTTCATGTCCCACTCTGTGCTAAGGGCTTTCCAGGCTTCATCACATTAACCCCTCCCTACAGTCCTATGTAGTATAAAACAAAACCAAGCCTTCTCTGGGTCATATTGATTGTCCACGGCAGGTCAATTCTGAAGGGACAAAATCAGGTTTTGAATTCAGTAGGTCAGACTCCAGAGACAATGCTCTATATAACTCCCCAAAGAAGTGTGTGTTCATTAAAATAAGTTCTCTAGGCATTTTGCCCCTTCTTGTCTCTTTGGGGTCTGCTTGGAGTTCTAACATTTACTTTGAAACCATAACCATTGTCCTGCTCCATCCCTGAAGTTTTCTGGGGAGCACTCTCACCAGGTGGGATGATTTGGCTGAACGTAGCCCAACACCGCCACCTAGTGTCGGCAGCAGGCTCATCCAGGCCCACCAAGAGCTCAATGGCCACGCAACCCTGAGAGCCTACAGGTTTTGACCCAGCTGCCAACATCTGTGTCTGTTTTGCTTTGTTTTTCTGACTACACAAGAACGTGCTCACTGTAACACTTTCTAGTCTGCTTGTGAAGGAGGATTCTAAAATCTCACATTGTAGAAACCAAATCAGCCCTGCTTTGACCTCCAAATGGATATTCCCGAGTTTTCCTTAACCCCTGACTGTCAGGAGAGTCACTCTTAAGTATGCAAGGGTTAAGTGCTACTGTGTCTGCAACTGGCTTTTAAATGGTTCAGGAGGGAGGCAGGTGGCGGGAGTGACACAGAGATGAATCTAAATGGTAGTATTCATGATGTTTATTGCATAGTTCTTTCAACTTTATGTCTGTTTGATATTCTCCAAATAAAAAGTCACAAGCATCACTGGAATGTGTAAGGAGAGAGGGTAGGCATGGTTCATACATTGACATCCAAGCTTAGGAACATGGGCCCTGTGTATCCTTCCCTGTGACTAGAACTTCTAGGGGCTGGGTATTGCTTATGGGCAAATTGAACCATGTGGGACTGGATTCCAGCCTACAACCTCAAGGGTAGCATCAAACCTTCTGGGACAGAACTAATTTTCCTCTACTTGATAAACTCAGTGGTTCCAACCAAACAAAATTTACTAAACATGACACAGCATTAAACAGAAGAGCTGCATACTATGGTCAATGAAGAGGAGCAAAATTTGCTACCCCCAAATCTGTCACTTTGGCCTGGGGTTATTTTGAGCAAAAGGTAATCAAAACCCAGCACGTGCAGGTAGAGCTCTCTAGCTCCCCTCAGCTACCTAAATTTACCTTGGAGAGGAGGTCTGTACCAGGAAGAGACCTATTACCAGAGAGATCTCTTTACCTAAGAAACCTATCTGCATTACAGGGCAACCTTTGTCTTCCAAACATCTCAGTTTCCTGTGAATGGAGTCCTTCTCTATATATCCTTAGACCCCCATCCCTTTCCTTAGCTCAGGATGTTATATAAGCCTCGATTACCATGCTGCCCTTCAGGAATCATATCTTTATGGGACTCCTGTACTTACATGATTTACATTTGTATGTCTCCTGTTAATCTGTCCCATATCAACTTAATGAATAGACTGGCCAAAGAACCCAGAACCGTAGAGAAAATATTTTCTTCCCTACATTAACATACATGAGTACATGGAAGCAGAGAGAATGCAGAGAAACCTGACAAACTCTCGTTGTGAACATATATTCAGCTAAAGTAAATGTTTGCAGGTTTTTGCAATGTCTTCACGTAATTGGATATACCATGGAAGGACACAAAGGCAGGGAAAGACTATTTTGTAAGGAAGCCCCTCTCTCTCTCCTGATTAACACCCTTTCCCCCAAAGGCACAACATGAGATTTCTCTAAGGGAATTTTCATTGTGTTCAAAACTGGAAAAGGCTTTTTACATTTTAAGGAGGACTCCCCTAAGGAAGAATATTTGGAAGTCACATGTTGCAGGGCACAGCTTCTTCAGCTCTTCACCTAGGAGGGGGTCCTGGTTGAAAAAGGATCCAGCAGAGGGCACTTGCCAACACTCCTCCCTTTTGGGTGGTCATGTCTGCCTCCCGTACACGGGAGATGGTGGCCTGAGGATTTTTCTACATCTTTATTAACCAAACATTTTAGTGTGATAATAGTAGGAGGCTACGCAGAATTGTGTTGATAAATACTGAACTACAGTTTTGGGGAAGTGAAACCCTGATTTGAGGGTCAGCCCATTTCCATGGTGTTAATGTTACTGCCATGGCCAATTTCAAGCTGCCAGTGAGAGGTCACTAAACACAGAGCTGGGGATGAATACACACACACAATTTAAACTCTTGAGCTTGATTCCAGTGCACCACTGAAAACCAGAGTAGGAAATGCAGAGCATGTGGGATTGTATTAAAAGAAAATAAGTCTCTCTTCCTTTGCCCAAAGTCCTTCTCTTCAAAGTCAGCTACTAGACTGGCTCCTCATGTATATGCTCAAAATACATTTTATGCATATACCTCTCTCTATATATGTGCATCCCAAAGTGTCTGTTTTTTAATTGCCCAAACTCACACTCTATTTTGTATCTTGAATCATTCACTTAATAAAAATCTTAAAGAGCTTTCTTGACGAGTGTGCTGAAAAACAAACTTCAACTGAGTACATTTGAAAGATCTTATCAGCTTTATTCAAT